AAGTGAACTTTGATTCAATAATAGGAGGATCCATTAAAGCATTGCTTTCAATAAACCTATTAAACATTCTCATCGAGGTCTTAATAGAAGTGCCTGCTAAACATTCGTCTGGCCATCAAATAAGGTTAAAATCGCCCACCAGCACCACCGGAAAATGAAAGAATGAAGAACTGAGTTTATCTCATCAATGAAAACTTCTTTAAGAGCATGAACAAAGTGTCATAAACATTCATGAAACCCCAAAAAAAACCCGGTTAAGGACACCATTCAAACCCAAAAGATAATTTCGAATTCTGCAAGACCAGCGGGTCCACAACACCCATAAACCCCTTGATGCACCGACTGCATCAACCCCACAAAAACCAACAGCTCCGGAACCGCAAACTGCCCTAGCACCCGACTTATTAGGGCTAGGTAATTTGGTTTCTTGTAAAAGCAAAACTACTGGTTTAAATTTAGACACCAAAAACAAAACATTCATTCTCCTATTGGGGTCACTCAAACCCCTAACATTCCACGATAAGAAACTCATAAAACAAAACGGATTAGAGGAGCAACTTCCTGGTCCATCAGGGGCAGTGCCAAAATATAGCTCTTCCAGCATCAAGGCTTCATTGAAGTCGTCATCCCGAGATGCAGAGCTCGAAGAAGAGGATTCCACATCAACCATCATCAGATCACCAAAGGTTAAAGCACTTGGCGGTCCTCTCTTGAAAATTCTACAGACCTCGAGTCACGCAGAAGATCGAGTCCCAATCTTCGCTATCTTCGTCTTCTTGACCGTCGTTGAGGCTTTGGCCAGAGATACCGAAGCAGGCACCTTGCCAGAGCTTGAAACTCCCTTACTGACAGCTACCCTGGTTCTCCTTTGCTTTTTAATATCCTCTAAAACAACTTTGAAGGGAACATCAACCATTCCCATGTCATCCAGTATCTTAGACAACATCCGAGTATCATCCATAAGAGCCTTCTCAGAGCAAGGCACCACAAGAACCTCATCCATTCGAGACTCCTCAGCAGTTGGCCCCGTGAGTAACAATGGTGGAGCATTCATCTGTGGTAAGATCTCTGAGGCCATCAAGTCCTTAGAAGCAATCGGTACAAGCCTCAAGCCCTAGAGATTAGTCACTTCTTGGGGATTGAGCACATCCTCTTCTGGAGATAGAGCTTCCAAAGGCGGATCCTTAGGCTCTACCAAAACAATGGCCAGAGGGTCAACCGTAAGTGGATCAAATCTGGTCCTGGTTTTCTTAGCTTGACCTTTGGCCACCACCACACAATAATATTTTTATTGTTCAAATATTATCTTATCTCCAAAGAGACACCATGTTGACACCGATGTACATGTATCTACATAACATAGGTTAAGGGTAGAGATAGAATCGAGAATAGGGTTGTTAACTCTAGGGTTTGGGAAGGGTAGCCCTGTCCAAACAATGCAGGGCGGCCCTGGGTTGGCCAAGGGCTAAAATTATAGTTTCAGACCCAATCTACCACGAATTGTATGACAGCGAGGCCCATCCAGGCTCAGCCTGAAAAAATGGAGATGAGCAAGGCCAACCCTATATAACGCTAAAAGAAGAAATAATTAATCTAAGTAAAATATATTTCTAGCCTTTGTTTTTTAGGTAATTCAGCGGGGCCCCTAACCATTTTTTTCATATAGATCAAGAAGTTAGCTTTTTTTAACGTGTCAGTGGGTAGTGTCAGCAAGATTGGAAACCACAATATGTTAATTAGGTGTGAGGGTACTGCCACCACGACCTTGCCCGTTTATTTTTTTAGCTTATTTTCCTTGCAAACCTTATCATTCGGCCTAAATCTGAGCCCATCCCAAAAGCCCGTGGGACAATCTAGGCCTCTCAACAGCCTAATTGAGAAGGGTGTGGTTTGTATACTGCTGAGGCTCTAAACAATCAAAGTAAAGCCCACCTTCAAATAATGTTGAGAAATGTGGTTTCAGTATTGGAAATCTTTGTGATAGCCGTAAAATATATTTTCACCTTTAATTATAAAATCTAAAGCTTAAAAAATAGTGTAGATCAAGCAGATCTATGCAAAGTTGAACTTCTTGAAATCTGACGGTCAAAAAATGTGTTACAAGATGCACTATTTTCAAAACTTAAAATCCATTCTTTCTCATGTCCATGCATCTTGATGTCGAGATGATCAATTGGAGGATACTTGGGCATCAAAAGAACCTCTTCTAGTGAATTTTTTGAGGTAGGCTCTAATTTGATCGTTTAGAGCATCAGCTCTATATAAAATGTTTCCAATTGATAAAGGAACAGAAAAATAACTAAAGACCAAAATAAAGAGCGTGTATAGTATTGAGCCATTTGAGCATACTATGCACAACTCTCTCAGGGCAAATTACAGATATTTAGAAGGATTAGTTTTATCTAAAAATTTGAGATCTATGTAAATATCTCAAGATTATTTTTTTTTAAAAAAAAATTAGATTTTGAGTTCTGTAGCATCTACATCTTTCTCTCTAAATATTGGATGGTTGTTGTTCGGTTTTAGGATATCACTTTATTTGGATACAAAAAAGGTGCGAATAATTTTTTTTTTTTTGGAAGTTGGTTCCTAAGTTATAAAAGTTAAATTCTCAAAATTTGGGATCTAAAAAATATTCTTAACAAGTTTTGCCCAAGTGATCAAATGGAAAGAACGCTAGGGGAGAGAGTTGAATGAAAGAGAAAGGCTAATTATATGGGTGGTAATGGACCAAGACCCGACTCGGGACCTAAGGGATAAAATCAATCCAGGTCTGAGTATGAGTTCAAAAATTAGACCTAACGGGTTGGTTTCGAGTCCAGATATGGGACTCAAATACTATTCGAATTTAGATCTGGGTTTGGGTCTGAAACTGGATCTGATAATATTTGTTTTAAAGTCTAAGATTTGGAAAAGGGTGACGCCAACCTTAACTCAAAGTGCCAAATACCAATGGAGAGAGAATGGTTACTGAGGTAGAGAGAGAGGAGCCCAACGGAAAGCGACTCAAAAAACTGCGCAGAGATCGATAACTCAGAGAGAGAGACCCGAAGGGGAAGGTTTAAGGGTAGAGAGAAAGAGCTAGAGAGAAAGTAACGAGGGCCGAAAGGAAAGCGGCTCCGCCCATCAGCCACCCAAAAGCCACCGTGATCCCCCAGAATGCAACGACGCCACCCCCAAACGCCGCCCCTTAAGATCACCGTTGGTGAAACCCTATTCCGAAACCTGTGCCCCGCCAACAAAACTGGTGGCGTTATCGGAAAAGGCGGCGGCATCATAAAGCAATTTCACGAAGAAGTTGGGGCAAAGATTAGGATTGAAGAACCAGTTCCAGCATGTGATTAAAGGGTGATTTTGATAATTGCACCCTCTCTGGAACACCTTAAAAAGCGGCGAGAAAAGGAGGATTCCGGTGATGAGGTTTCCAGAAAAGAGGACTCCATTGAGGAGGTGGCAGGGAAAGAGGAGGGGGGTGAGGCTGAGGTCGAGATTTTACCGGCTCAAAAAGCACTGGTTAGGGTTTTTGAGAGGATTTTGCAGGTCGATGGAGAGAGAGAGGAGAGGATAGAGAGAGACAATGGTGAACATAAGGTTTCTGTGGTTCCTCACTCAGTTGTTTGCCGGATTTTGGCGCTGGGTAATCAGGTGGGGTATGTTCTTGGAAAGGGGGGCAAAGTGGTGGAAAAGATCAGGCAAGAGAGTGGTGCTCAAATTAGGGTTTTGTCAAAGGAGCAGTTACCACTGTGTGCTTCAGTGGGTGATGAGTTGATCTAGGTACTGTTTTGTTGTTGTGGATTTTTGAGTTTTAGGGATTTTGTGGTTCATAGAGGACCTGGTTTTTTGTTTTTTCACTGTTTTGGACTCTAAAGAGCTCTTAGCTCATTGTGTTTACGTTTTCTTTGAAAAATATTAGCAGAAATGATATGTTCTTTTGTATTTTCTTTTTAATTTAAAAGAAAAGTTCCGATTTTTTTTTTCTTTTGAGTTAATTTTTGTTTTGTTGTTGCATTGCTTTTATTGTAGTTATATTGCATGTTTTCCCCATATGGACATTAAGAACCTGCACTGTTCAAATCTCTGTTTATGGTTTCTAAAAGAAAGATGAAATGAGTCCATACTAGAATTATATATAAATAACTAGGAAATGCTTAGTAACTCAATGAAAAAAAGCAAAAATAAGCTAGAAAAGAAACTGCATTGTTCAATTCTCCGATTATCTAGATTTTAGGGGGAAAAGGGAATGAGCCCATACAGATGAATACAAAGATATAAAATTATATTTAAATAACTAGGAAATGCTTAGTAACTTAATGAAAAGAAAAAATAGGCTAGAAAAGAACCTGCATTGCACAACTCTCTGTTTATATGGTTTCAAGAGAAAAATGGAATGAATCCATATACAAAGATATAGAATGATATATAAATAACTAGGATATGCTTAGTAACTCAATGAAAAGCAAAAATAGGCTAGAAAAGAAATGCATTGTTCAATTATCTGATTATCTGGTTACCAAGAGGAACATGGAATGAGCCCATACAGAGAAATACAAAGATATGGAATTATATATAAGTAACTAGGAAATGCTTGGTACGTTAATGAAAACCAAAAATAGGCTAGAGCTCCGGAGCTCGGGGAGCGAGTTTCGGTGAGGGTAAAAGTTGTGTATCGAGATCCCGTATGAACGGGGGGCACGTTTCCAATACATTGGGATCGAGATCCTTATTTAACGGGAATGATTTTCATGTAAAATGGGATCATGTTCCCATGTTCATTAAGATCATGCTCCCATCGACAATAGGAATGATATCCCATTTAAAGTTGAGTCATGCCCCCATCTAGAAAGAGTGTGTTCCTATTTCAAACGGATCGAGCTCCATTCAAGGTTGGATCGCGTTCCGCAAAACTCGGAGCCAATATCCACCTATCCTCTCCCTCTCTCTCTATCTATCTCTCTTGACTGGACATTCACCAGCTCTTCAACCTCCGCAACCCTGATCCAATGGACCCCATTTGCCAAGACGTGCCCCTCTGCCTCTCTAACTTCATGGACACATTTGTCGACTTCACAGTAAGTGGACTCTTTCTCTCTCCTGAGAAAACACAACAACAACAAAACTCCACATACCCATCTCTACCTCGCTTGCTAGCAGGGGACCTCCATGGCTATCTCGAAAAGGCCAAACAAGCTTTGAAAATGGCTAAAATCTTCGATGAAAATGATCACTCGATTGCAAGTGGCTCCATGATTATGAAGCTCGGTGATATCCTTGACAAAGGAGGAGAAGAGCTCAAGCTCCTTTATTTCTTAGAAAAACTCAAGCAAGATGCAGAGAAATCAAATAGGAAGCTCTTGATTTTACAAGGAAACCATGAAAGCCTGAATATACAAGGGGATTTTAAGTATGTTATAAAAGTTGGCCCTGAGGAATTCAACTATTGGGGTGACTAGTTTTCTATAGAAAATATAATGAAAAACCTCTGTAAAAGATTGGAAAAATAAAATTTTTGTTAATGGAGTACCCAAAAATTGCCCACTTGGAATTAGGGCTAGAATAGCTGCTTTGAGGCTTGGAGGCCCAATTTATATGTGTTTCTTAACTGATAACCCTACCATTTTAATGATGGGTGGCTCTTTTTTTTTTCATGGTGGGATCCTCCCTAAGGATGGAGTTCTGGGAACGTAGGGATTGTGTTCTTAAAATTCTGAGAGCGGGGATCTAATTTGTTCGGGAACGCGTTCCATGGGTCAATGGGAGCAGATCCGTGCAGTATCGGGTGTCAGCTCCATTGTGAATGGGATTGAGAATCCTAAAAGTAGGAGCGAGCTCCCAAAAAGTATGGAATGGGATCCGATCGAGATCCCGGCTACAAAATGCCGGAGTTGGGTTCTGGAGCTGGAGTGCCACCCTAGTTAGGGGCTCTCGGTAACTATGATTACGATCCCTTAAATTTTATTCAACTATGCATGCCATAGGAAATGAAAAAAAAATATGAATAATACACAACATTATATATTATACCTCACCATTTTGAAAAGGATATGCATTTGGGGTTATCTTCCCAAAAGAATCAGCCCAAGCATCATCATTTCTTTGAGTCCTGCGTATGGGAATAGTTCCTTTCAGGCACTTTTCGAATTTATTCCGTACTTGAAAGCTCACGACCTTTTCGTCTCTTGAGATTTTGGCTTCTATTGATACCACCTCTGGATACGAGCTAGGCCTCATCTAGAGAATTAGATAAAAAATATGAAATGATTAGTGTGTGTTGTTAAATGTGAATGGGAGTATTTGATGCAGAGCCCAAATAGACTTTTGATTGTCCAAAATCCGCCACCTCTTGAAGTAAACAGTTTAGAGTTGATTATAGGGTGAGAGAGGATTTGGAGAAATTTAATGGGCCGGGGACTGTGCAACTTCACCAAAATCTTGTTGATAAACATGCCTAAGTCAGTTTTTTTCCGAATATTTCTGAAAAAATCCAAAAAAATCAACATCTTTGACTAAATCTAGACCCTTTGATCAAATTAGTCTATATTCAACCATAGCCGTAGCTCAACCTTTAAATAGGCCATCTAAAACTCCCAAAAAAATACATAAAAAATCCCTAAAAAATACTAAAAAATACCTCATAGGAAAAACCCTAGAAATTAGTAGATAAATCTCAGAAAATAGGAAAAACCCTTAGATAAATCCTAAAACTTTAGAAAAAAATCAAAACAATTCCCCAAAAACTACCAAAACAAATCCCAAATTTCGAATGAAAAATTAGGTGACCTCAAATCCCTTAGAAAATTATCGCCCAACCTTAGGAAAAATTAGGTAAAACCTCACCGATGATCCTTAGCCCCTTTTTAAAACCTTAGGAACCCTAGAACTAGTGAAAAAACCTTAGATCCAGCACACTCAAGCAAGAAAAGGAATCTAAAAAAGGAGATGGTGGCAAGAGAAGAGCAGTCTGAGATGGCCAATATCCATGTTCGAACTTATACAACGATGTTGACTAACGGGGAGGAGGGAGAGATGTCCAATATTCTTTTGAAATCTTGTTGCTTGTAGAAAAAACGTTTCGTCCGCTACCGGTCTAGGTTTCCATTCCCATTGACGCATTCGAAAACCGTTGATTATTTCTAAAAACGTGTAGGGACATGTATTCCCCACTAATCTACCCAAAAAAAAAAAATTATGTCCTCGATCCATATGGTATCACATTGTGTTCCTTTCTGGTCACTGTCGGGGATATCTTGGAGCATCATGTGATGCTGCGTGGTGCTTACAAGAACGAGCTTTATATGTACAAATAAATGAAAGTGTTGCTGCCAATAACAAACATTGTTAAGAGCATCACTCGTAAAAACTTAACAACAGAATGAGTAATTGGAATATTCCATTTTTAATCCTCTTATAAAAACTTCCACACTTGAATTCATACTGCTTATGCCTTAAAAAATCAACAAAAGAATAACAAAACACCTTGATTAATGTTCTGGTGGTGAAATGGCGTTGAACATAACGTTTTGCTGGGCTTCCATTTCAACCCCAAAGATAATTAAAGTTCTCATTTATCTTGTTTAATGTTTATTTGTGCCATTTATGTCCACAAAGGGATATCAGAGACCCATAACAATCTTACAAAGGTAGAATTTTAGATTCATAAAGTCGTTTGATGCTATAATGGCCTCTACTTTTGCACTATGCATGCTTGCAACTTCCTTTGATATTTCTAGGTAAATTGTGGCATTTAGTGTCCTTTTAGCTAGACATCCCATTGCTGTACCATACAAAAGAATGGAACTTATCTGACAAACATCTTAGTTTCATATGTTTGGGACAAAAGTCAATTACATGTGCTCCATTAGATCAGTGTCTGACTCTATAATATTGTTAAATTCACCATTTGTTTTTGTTGCCCCTATCAATGTTTTTGTGCACTAAACGTTTCTTGAGTTTAGGTGTGTATCTCCGTTACTACGATTATGTCATTCCAAACTCAGGCTTGTCCTCTTATTCAGTCTACCATTTTTCTTAATTGGGCATTTCATGGTTTAAGATTGAAATTGAATGGATTTCTGCATCTCCTTGTGGCTGATATAGCCTTCTGAATCGATCACTAAATGCATCATGTATCACATTATCGATAGTTTTATTGAAAATTCTTTAGACATTGATTCTGAAATTTTCTCCTTCAAATACAGGTTGGGTTTCTACCAGGTCCTCCGAAGTAAAAGGAATCCGGATGATAAGAACCAACCATATCAGAATCATAGCATGCTGCATGGTCTCTAAACGGGTCAACGAGTGGAGTACCATAGGTGCCATCACTAAATAGTACTCTCACAGAACCGAAGTAAGCCGCTTTCTTGTCTCCCTCTTTAGGGAAGTGCCCACTGCCCATTTGTGTGGAGGTGTGCTCCCCACCAGTCTTTAAATTTGAAACTTGGCCGCCCCACAAAACCCTATTGGCTACCGATAAGCTTGTGAATATGGATGCAGGCCAGTAACCCACATGAATCTCGTTTTTCAGTGCAGTCAACAGTGTAAACCACCAGTTCCCGGTGTTGTTGTCCTGTGAGAGAGAGAGATTATCAAATACAAAACTAGAAATATATTATAGGCAAACTATTAAGATGTGAATTAGGAGGTTTTGAATACGCCCATAGGAAAAGAAATATTTTTGGATAAACCTTGTGACTCTTCTCTGTTCTATATTACCTTATGAATGGAGTAGTTAATGGCATATTGATTTCCATCATACTCTGAAACTGGTGTCAAAACGGTACCTAAGGGTATATCTGAGCTTGTTTGAACGAAACCTGGACATGAAAGGTCATAGCACCCGGGGGTCTTAGAATCAACAATCTGATACACACAAACAATTGATTAATTAACCTTTTATACTTCGATAAAAAGTGCAAATAAACAATTGCTAGACTTGTATGAATCGATAGATTAGTATGAAACTTACTATCCAAGATATAAAGATGCGGGTCTTTGTATCACCGTAGAGAACTGGATTCACCTATAGATATATATAAACCGTCAAACTCATACCAAATCTTAAATATGAATACGCTATAGAGATGCGAATATCGTTAGCAGTAACCTATGGAGTGTCGAATTCATGCAAAACTTAAATTTGAGCATGAACTTCAAATGCATAATTAGGCTCTAAGGAATGTGTGCAATGCATAAACTATGATCCTTTTCTTGAATCTTGAAAACAAAAAAAAGAGTAAAAAAAATGAAAAGAACACGAGAAGGAAAGCATACAATCCATCCTGCAGCAATTCCATTGACAACGGCTCCTCTGTTACTAAGGAGCCATGTTCCGGCACCACTGTACTCTGTAGAAACTTGAACTTGCGGATTCCAAATATAGCTCTCTGAGCTTGCTCCATAGAAAGCAAAATTTTTCGTGATCGCTCCAGCATACTAATTTTCCACACAAAAGCTTAGAATCCTAAAATGTAGAAATAATGATAATAATGAAAATAAAAATGAAAAATACAGTGCAAAAATATTGTTAAAACAGACTATAGAAAATTAAGAAAGAATAAAAAATTCAAGGGAAAATGCACTGAACCAAAATAAGCTATGGTTTTATACGTACGTCCATAGTTTCAAGCTTTTTAAGTTTCACCCTGTTTGAAGCTTAAACTTTGAACCACCCCCAAAAATAAAAAAACATTAAAAAAAATAAAAGAAAAGGAAAGGAAAGTGCTTGGAATCTGTGGTCCAAATTTTAAACTTTGAGAGAGAATTATTTTCCTTATATTTCCAAAGATATTATGAAAAAGAGTTGTCTAATAGATTGGTGTCCAAATTTTAAACTTTGAGAGAGAATTATTTTGTTTCTATTACTAGGAAACCATAGAACCTAATTCATACGAAACATACAACTTCCATAAAAAAATTTACCTTTTCTTTAAACTAAATATGGTTTTCTTTCAAAGATTCAAATGATTTACGCTTTTCATTACACGACCCCTTAAATCTCATCCTACTATGCATGCCATGATAGGAAATGAAAAAACAAAATGAATACTGCACAGAAATATATATTTTACCTCAGCAGTTTGATCGCCGTAGTTATCGGAGTTATCATTTACAGTAAAAGGATATGCATTTGGGCTTATCTTCCCACCATTTCTTTGCGTCCTGAGTATTGGAATTGTACCGTTTGGGCACTTTTCAAAATTATTCCATAATTGAAAGCTTGCGACCTTTACGTCTCTTGAGTTCTCAGTCTCTGGTGATGCCGCCTTCGGGTACGAGCTAGGACTCATCTAGAGAATATAAAGCCAGAAAATATGAAATGATTAGTGTGTTTTGTTAAATGCGCAGGGGAATATTTGATAGACAGCCCAAATAGACTTTTGAATTGTACCCACCTCTTGAAGTAAACAGTTTAAGAGTTTATTTCAGGCTGAATGAGGATTCGTTGAAATTTGTGAGCACTAACTCGAGTTTTAATTTTCCTCACTTACTGTTTTTTAGTAACATTTCCTTTTTGTATGTGCTTAAAAAAATAGCATCCCGAGATTAAATAAGGAACGTTCAAATCATCCCAAGATTACATAAAGAACGTTAAAATCGAGCCTAAGATGTAGCATCGTAAGTCGTCAAGTGCTAACAGGTTAAGCCCAAGCTTTTTTCCTAAATACTGAAGACATTATAAAAAGAATTTAGCAATGCCAATGGGGTAGCCTAGCCCTGATCCCTATAATGTTGGTTCGAGCCCAGCCCGGCCTAGACTGGGTAGAAAAGGATCTAGGCAGACCTTGGCCATATCCAAAAGAGAGAAATAAAGAGAAAAATGGTCGAGTCAGGCCAGCAGTTTTTGCCAAGGCTTAGGCTGTGATTTTGTGTGAATGAGTTAAGAGAAGCAACTACCATTCGCTCATAGACAAGGCTAGTCTTACCATGCCTATGACCCAACTCTCTCTCATATTTGGATCCAACCCTACTTCTCTTCTCATCTCTACCACAACCTTCCTACCATGGCCCAAACCCTAATGGTGCAGTCCCTAGTGGTGTGGTTCTGTGCAGGCGTGGTGATTGCTCAGAGGGACTGGTTCCTTTTCAATGGCTTTGAGTCTGCGAATTTGAGCTTAAATGGTGCATCCCTTGTGAGGGGCAACGGAGCCCTTCAGCTCACGAACTCGTCGCTCAAGCTCATCAGCCATGCGTTTTACCAACGTCCCTTGAGCTTTAGTAACGATACGTCTTTCATCACGACCTTTGTTTTCGCCATTGTGCCCCAGGTGCCAGGCCAAGGACGCCATGGCCTGGCTTTCACCATTGCCCCCTCTTCCCTTCTACCTGGTGCTCAAATTGGGCAATGGCTTGGCCTCCTCAACAGCACCACCGGCGGCAACTCCTCCAACCATATTTTTCGCTGTAGATGCAGGGCCAAGACTGGGACATAGATGGCAACCATCTGGGCATCGACATCAATAGCCTCGTCTCCAATGCTTCAGAGAGCGCCGCCTACTATTCCAGAGACAACCAGAAACATGCAATCATCTTGGACAATGCGGTGCTGATCCAAGCATGGGTAGGCTATAGAGCTCGCGAAAAGCACATCGATGTTACGATAGCGCCTTTCAGAGTGGACAAGCCTCATTGCCCATTGATCTCCCACACTGTCGACTTGTTGTCGGTCCTCTTACCCTCTATGTATGTTGGCTTCTCCTCTGCAACCAGGAAGCGTGGAAGAGCCCATTACATTCTCGGATGGAGCTTTCGCCTGAATGGGGAAGCCCGACCTTTAGATCTCTCTTGCCTACCTTCTTTCCCTAGACCTGGTGCCGGGTCCAAGCACGCGGAGACCATTCATATTGGGGTCCATATCCGGAACCTTCCTCCTTGCAGTTGCAGTGATCTTGGGGGCATACTTGATTCGGAGGGAAAAGTTCTCTGAGACTCTAGAAGATTGGGAGCGGGATTACCCGCACAGGTTCTCATACAAGGATCTATACCTGGCCACCAAAGGCTTCAAGGACCACGAGGTTTTAGGTTCAGGTGGCTTCAAGGATCTAAAGGTGTGCTTCCAGGAGGGCCTGAGGTTGCAGTGAAGCGAGTATTTCATGGCTCCAAGCGAGTGGTTCGAGAATTCATTGCAGAGGTAGTAAGCCTTGGGCGCTTGCACCACAGGAACCTGGTCCAACTCCAAGGGTGGTGCAAGCGCAAGGATAACCTATTGCTTGTCTGTGATTACATGCCCAATGAAAGCCTCGACCGATTGATATTTCATGGTGATGATGATGAAGAACACGAAAAGCAGCAGCACAGAGCTGTTCTAGGCTGGAAAGAGAGGTACAGGGTATTGCAGGACGTTGCGGCTGCCCAATTGTACCACCACGAGGAGTGGGAGCAAGTGGTGGTGCATAGAGATGTGAAGGCCAGCAATGTCTTACTCGACTTTGGCGCCAGAGCTCACACGCACCTACAAGACAACCACCGAGGCCGACGTGTATGCATACGGTGCATTGATGCTAGATGTGGCCGGCGGTCGTAGGCCCGTCGAGCCTAAGGCCGCAGTTGAAGAGATGCTAATGGTAGATTGGGTGCAGGAGCTCTACAGTGAAGGAAAAATAGCCGACGCCTCGGACCAAAGACTCAATGGGTGGTACATGAAGAGCTTCAAAGACCTTCAATATAGGGATTGCAGATAACAAAAACATAGAAACCAAAAAATGTGAAACAATGGTCCATTGAAATTTTAGTGTTGTATACACAAATAAAACAATAAGAAGTTTGAAAACGAAAAATTGATCAAACTTATATATGCAGAAAGAATGCAACAAAATTCTTAATCAAACTCCAATAATCAAACCTGTCTCTCAATTCCTAGCTGCCTAAATCTTTACTTGTGAGTAAATCTCTCTCATGCTCTTTATAATGATGCTCTTGGTTTAGATAAAATGGCAGTTTTCCACTAGGTTATTAGTATTCTAACACCACCCATTATTTTGAAATACATGGTTGTTTTGAGATATCATTTTTCTAAAATACGTTACTTGTTATTTTTTAGCTAAAATTTTTAACTGAATATGGTGGTGAAATTTATTTATAGAATTTTTTGTTAAATCAATATTTTTAATTAATTCCATCTTTGAGACGCTTATCTCGAAATCAAAATTCAAACTGTCAAATCAATGAAGATAAGGGAGGTTTCAATGAAGCCATAGGGAAGAATTTTTTTAAATTTAGGAAATATAGATTTATATTAGCTTTGTTAGAAAATTATTTTTCAAAGATCTTTTGAAAAATTTGAAGCTCTTTACATATTCTAAAAACCAATTTTTTTTTTTTCAAAAAAAACCATGTTTTGATCTGAGACTTACCAACCATAGACTAGATCTGAACTACGGTTGGGAATAAGACCAGTAACACCATGCTACTGACTGACTAGGGACTTGTCTTAAGTACAAATCGAATGTCACTAACGCATGATCCATAGTAAGAGATTGACACCTTAGATGAACTTTTTTCTTTGGATAATTTAGTGGGGAAGACAGGTTCTACCTATTTTTTAAGTAGATTAAGAGTAAGCTTATTGAAGGTATTAATGGGGTAGTGTTAACGGGTGTAACTACAAAATGTTGATTAGGATGTGGGGTGCTACTTCTGCAACTCCATCCTCTTTTCCAACAAAAAAAAAAAAAAAGAACTTTTGGGTGATGGACTGCAAATGGATGAAACCATAGGAGAAAGAGAAAGATGGAAGAAACGTCCTACCACTCGACTAGAAGCCAAATCGCAGGGGTTCATTTGCACCCCTAAAACGACTTAAGATGCATCAAGGGACTTGAATGATTACCATGGTTTAGGGCAGCCGAAGCGGCGTCATTTTGCCAATGAATGATGAGAAATTGAAAACATGGACACGGTTTTTATGAGTTCATGGGCTCATATATAGAAATACGGGCCCCTTAATAATTATCTTTCAAATAAATGTTGATCTTCAATCCAAGGAATATACAATCACTAACATAGAGATCATTAATGTGCACAAAAAAAAATTTAAAATTAAAAAGATTTCTTTTAGAAGGAAAAATGTTTATATAAGGTGCTAACATTATATTGTAGAAGTAAGGTGCACATCTCAAAAATCATCCTAAAGTGGTGGTTATGATGTTGTAAAGTATGACAATTGATTATCTCGACATTGAGATATATGGATATGAAATATAAAATAGATATCAAGTCCTAAAAATATTACTTCTTGTAACACATTATCTAGATCACCCATTTTCAAGATTTTTGACTACTTACTTATAGACCTGTTTGATTTGAGCCATTTTGGGATCTTTAAATTTCATAAGTAGGGATAAAAAAATTTCCTGCACCAAAACGACCTTTTAAGGCAAATTTTTAAAGTACACCATACTTCCATAGTTTAAGGTAGATAGTTTATACTAATCGCACCTTATCTATGGTTTGGTCTTCTAGGTCTTATGTACCCATCAAGAGGACCCAGACCCAAGTTTGTCAGGTTCCGCAATGAGGGTGCAGAACCAGACTTGTTTGACCCATCTTATCAATCCGACTAATCACCCCTACAGTGTGCAAGTTAAAACCAGTGTTTTAAAACCCGGATTGCAGGGGAATAGTTCACTTACAAATGTGTATCAGATCATTAGATCGATCCAAATTGAATATTCAGAAAATATAAAAAATCAATAAAATAAAGAAAAACATAAAATAAGGCTTTCTAAGGAATGAATTTAGGGGAGACTTGAGAAAATATTATGTAAGCTTAATAAAAGGGAAAACAATGTACAAAAGGAGTTTTAAGGTTATAATGGACACTTGGGAGAGTCCATTCAGGCTCGCCCCTGCAACTTGGTTCGGGCCGGGGCCAAGTTTGTGGTCCGAGCTGAGTTTCCTAACACTTGTTAATAAATAAAATAATGAAAAATCAAAATGCAAAAATACAAGAAGATACCTGAATAATGTGATTCTTAAGGAGAGGGTGATCGAAAGCAGGTTGTTTGTAAATATCGATGCAATCAATTACATCTCCATCACTCTGCAATAACAAATGCCCAAATAATTATAATTATACTTCCCCAAAATTATTTTCATGAAAAAGGTTTGGCGCATCTATGTTAGTATTCGTGCCCTTCCAAAACCCCATCTCAGAGATGCATTTTGGATTTGACAAATTCAGAGGGGGATAACCTCAATCACCATGATCATGAAGCTAAAGAAAAAAAAAGGAATTTAACATTAAAAATACATTATATTACAATTTAAGACAAAAGGTCCAAAAACATTGCTTCAAATAATCGATCTATAAGACCTAGAAATTAAAACTTCATAACCAAGATCATGATGGTCGAGATTATCTTCAATCAATTTTTTTAGCCAAAATCCATCTGGAGATTAAACTCTTTAGAAAACCCCAGAAAATTAAACTTTTCAAAAGAAACGTTGGCAACCATTCGATTACATGAATGGTTTTAACTGCTCTTTTATTGCCAAAGGTAGTTCTTGTGCCTTCCAATCCATGGCCAGAGGACAGTAGAATAATCACTAAAAACTGTATAATTTGGCTCGTAATCCCTCCCATTCTATGCTGCATTCTTCTGCAGAAATCAATATTTCATAATACAAAAAAGATATAGAAAAAGTAATTTAAATTACATTTATATAAATATAAAAGAAAGCAATTTCCATAACTCTAAGCTCTCTTGCACGTTATTTATAAGAAGCTTAAATTGATTTTCCTTAAAGAAATATTAGATTTGATTTACTAAAAACGAAACATGAAATAAATGTTGACAGCCTTTTGATGCTTTATTTGACAAAAGCTCTATCTATTTAAGATTGGACCCAGAGCATTTATTATCACAAAATTTGTTTCTATATAAAGGAAGTTAGTAAAACATGATTTTCAGCATTATTCAGAAATTAATAACAAATTGGCCTCAAAACTAACCTCAATATTCGAGTTGATCGTGACTTATTATATATGTAGACAAAGAGTGTACAGTCAAGAGCCTGTAGAACCAAGTTTCATCATAAAACTCTATTAAAAAAAAAAAAAAAAAAAAGAAAAAAAAAAAGAAGAGAAAGAAAGAAAGACTGGAGGTCATGAAATTTGCAAATTGCACAAAAAGGCGAATATCTTAACTTCTCTCTAGAAATCAACCATGAACCGGTCAAGAGACCCCACAATATATGCCTGGCCCGAAAGCCCTCATAGCGAGGACCGACATGTTTGAGCACGAAGCTTTTCTCCATGAGGTAGGCACCGGAAAATTACCATCTCTTAATTATTTTTTTCATAATTTTACCCAAAAATGATTAATAGCACAAGTTTAGTTTTTGAATAATATGCGACACCCTAAAATCTTTAGTAAGCACTATCAAATGGTATTGGAATGATGCCAAATTTTTAAGTCAACGGTTTTTAGGCATTTACTACTAGTTAGGTGCTTCCAACCCATCAAGTGCCTATTTATGTGGGTTCATTTGTAACTTTGCCACCTTTTCCATGCTCCAAAGGAAATAGTCCAAGGTATCAAAATAACTTCCCTATATCTAGGCCCACATACATCATACTAGCCTAAATTTTTTGGAATATTTATGAGGTTATATTGGATTAAATTTATTCTTATTTTGACACCCATCTATATCCGTTTCATATGTTTTATCCATGTTTGTCTATTAGCTATTCGATCATAAGATCTAGGTTGCAACCGCTCTAGAAATACATGGCTTTTATTTTTGAGGTTAGCCATCATCAGAAAATGAGGACCCACCAAATTTGGGGCAAATATATATGTCTATTTGGGGTTCATTCCATTATCTTCTATATTTTCGATAATTTTTTGTTTTATATGTTACCAGTTTCCTATCAAGGCGGACAATCCTATAATTTTGCATTAGGTAGGCTGCCTTTAGTAGGGAACTATCCCTACCTTTCACCGATATTTTTTTGGAAACAATGATCCTAGATTACCCGCCCCTAGGTTTTAAGTAGGGCTTTGAGTACAAACTTTCCATATATGGCTTGTTAGATCATGTGAGGTAAAAATAAGGGAAAATATCATACAGAACCCTAATTTTCTATTTTATTTCACGGTAGACCCTCCTAATTTTCTTTCAAGCGGCATAAATAAACCGTCAAATAGTTCACCCAACCCCCTCATCCCTTATTTCCCAGTTTTTTCACTTTTGGCTATAAAAACTGACCCCAACAAATTATTTTATTCCGACTTAATCCAAAATCCTTTTTAACCCTCTTTTCCCTTGTTTTCATTTTCACTACAGTAATATCTCTCTCTCTCTACCACGGCAAGGGCTCTCTCTCCATTCACCACAGTGGAGTCCGCTCATTTCTCACGGTAAGTTTCTCTTTCTCTCTCCTCTCTCTCACTCTCTCCCTGCCTCCATTGCTCTCACTGTCTGGTACTCTCTCTCTGCCTTCGAAACCTCCATTTTCTTATAGAAATCAGGGTTCTTGTGTATCTAAATTTTGGACAATCCATTTTCAAAATCTAAAAATATTAAGCACCTAAGAATTTACCGAGGAAGGCACCCATTTGCAGCAGATGCACTTGTTTATGGTCTTAGAGAGAAACACATTCTCAGAGGTTAGAGGGAAACACAATTTCAGATTTAAAGAGAAAAAAACCAATCTATAGTTTTAAAGTGAGAAACATCAGCAAAAGATAGAGAGTGAAATTGGACAAACAGGAAGTAGAGGAACTCGTGAGTAATACAAGAGAGAAAAGAACCCATTACATGGTTTTTTTTGTTGTTGCTATGGGAGATAGAGAGAGAGATGTATTCATGGGTCTTTACTGAAATTCTGATTTTTGCTGTTGCTGTAAGAGAGGTACAATTCATGGGTTTGTATTATTAGTGAGAGAAAGATGAAATTTATGCATAACCTTTTTTCTTGGTTGGAGAGATTGCACTTCATAAGGTGCATTGATGTATAGAAATGAAATATTTAGGGTTTCTTGTGGCAATACATTCACTATCACCAATGACCTAGGGCTTTTGTGCATTTTCTTTAACATTGTAAGTTTAGAACTTTATAAAGATCTGTTCAATATTGATTGATATGCTTCCGCTTTTTCAGTATTTTGTGGCTATTTGTTACAGGCCTTCAGGTTTTTATTCCTTTGTTTCTCTCTATTTTCCTGTTTATTTCTTTGGTTTCAACAGAGCTTTAATCTGCTTTTACAATAGATTTGCTCTTGAAATACCATTTAACCTTTACGTACCTAAAAGTATTTAAAAAACCACAGCCTCTTATTTGTATATTTTTATGCTAAAGTATTTTATTGTTAGTAAATATATACTTCAAAAGGATTCATTTATTCTTGCTTAGGGATATCCCGAATTTGCTTCTACAGGTTTGGGTTTGCTTGACCTGTCTTGCAGAATCATTTGCATCATCTATTGAGAAGGTAGATGAATTACATAACCGTGCTAATAGGTTTAGAATTATATTGTACTAGCGTCAGTGTGGAGGCACCACAAATGCTTTTGTTTGTCAATATTTTGAGCTTAAATTCTCTATAATATGAAATATTAGTTTTGATTTGTTAAGAGGAATGCCTATATGTGATTGTTTGTTATAGCACTCGACTACCATCTAGATTGGTGCATTATGATGTCAAAGCACAATCTTTTTTGACAAAATCTGCTTCTCTCTCACTCTTTCCCTCACACACACACACACAAAATACACTCCTCTCTCTTACACACACCCCATTTCTCTCTCTCCCACTCTCTCTCTCTCTCTCACACACACACACACACATTTGATCACCCACTTCCAATCTGTTGATCAACTCTTCAAATTCAGGGGTGTGTTGGATCAACTCCACAAATTCAGAGAAGGCTATTGTGCTTTGACATCATAATAAATTTAGAGGCGTGTTTTGAATATCATTGAATTCAATTCTGTTTGAATTTTGCTGAACAAAGAAGAAGAATTCGATTGTGTATGCACATGTGTGTGTATACAAGAGTGTGAGAGAGTTTACACAATATAAAAGGAAGTACAAAAACTTCACATAAATTTATGATAGTAGTTACATCAATCGTTTTAAAACAAGTATCTCACAAATCTAAAATAGATTACAGATTAACCTGAGAATCACTAGACAAAGTGATCAGGAATGGCAATGCAGAGAGGGAGTTGCTTACGACAAATGCGTATGTCATCCAACCAAAACAATCTAATAGGAGAGAGAGCGAGAGGTTCGTTAAGTCTCCCCTAAATTCTTCGATGAAGCATCAAGGTAATCAAGGCAGGCAATGAAAATACATTCTTTCAAGTATTATTAGTTGTTTAACGTGATTCACAAAGGTTTAACATGCTTTTTCACATCATTCTTCCAAGACATGCGGCTAGTTCATAACCAACACAAGCTTCTTCAAATATTCCAGAAATAATCCAAATATCAATTCATCCCCATAAATCACGATATGGATCCAACAGGAGCCCTAATATGACCATAAGATCGCATCCATTCCTATTTTTATCATAAATGAATCACCCTTACAAGAGCTAAAAAAACCCTTAATCCGTCATAATCAAACAAGGAATTACACATGTATTATATCCTTCTTTCGCTCAAACAGAATTCAAATAATATATGAATATATCCAGAAAATAAATAATTCAATAATTTTCATGTTTCTTACTCACAGTTATGGCCCAAAAAAGGAGGAAGCAGAAAAGGGGAAAGCCATGGAATCGAGGCGCCTTTGCATAAGTCTTCATCTCTCAAGTCAGAGAGAGTGAATGAGTGTTTGCACTGCGACTCCACTGTGGTGAATGGAGAGAGAGCCCTTGCCATAGTAGAGAGAGAGATATTACCGTAGTGAAAATGAAAACAGGGGAAATGAGGGTTACAAAGAATTTTAGATTGAGACGGAATAAAATAGTTTGTTGGGGTCAATATTTATAGCCAAAAGTGAAAAATCGGGAAAATAAAGGATGAGGGGGTTGGGTGAAATATTTGAGGGTTTATTTATGCCGCTTGAAAGAAAAATAGAAGGAGGGTCTACCGTGAAATAAAATAAAAAATTAAGATTCTGTACGATATTTTCCCTAAAAATAAACCCAAATATATAGATATGCTTTACCTGCATCTACTTTGGAGACTTAAATTTTATAATTAGGGGTGGAAATAGATTGTCAGGTTATCGTGAAGTTTTCCCTATGCTGATTACATTTTTCAAAAAGTTTAAAGGTGTGCCTTACTACGATTGTTTCAAGTGGATACTTAGATTGTATGTGTGTATAAGGCGCACCTCCAGACTATCTCTAAGGATGCAGTTCAGGGCTAGTAAACTATTGTGATGCCCTGAAAATCTATTTTCCACTATAAGTATGAAGATTTAGAGCTTAAAAATATAACAAATAGAGCAGATATATAAACACTTGAAAATATTGAGAATGGATAATGTAGATAATCCATTACAAGATGTACAAATTTTTCATGATTTGGGATTCGTTTTTTGTTTTTCATATCCATACTTCTAAATTGGACAAGTTGATCAATTAGAAGATTTTTAAGCTCTGGATCACCCCTTTCCAAGTTGAGTTCTATACTTAAGAATGGACAATATAGAACTCAAATGCTGAACTACACTTGAGTTCTATACCATGAGAATGACACCGTACAAAACTTTGTTATTTCTTTTTTTTCTATCTTTTGATGAGAAGAACACATACCTAAAATTTCAAGTGATTTGGATTTGTCGAAAAAAAATAAAATTCAAGCATTATCGGACATCTATGATCGTCAAATCAACCCAGATTCAATCTGGGCCGTTGAGCTCATATATTCATATGAGCTAGTAGGCTAATCCTAGCTTTTCCTATACACACACACACACACACACACACACATATATATATATAGATATATATATATATATGGCATCCCTGATTGTCAGATCGGTCCATATTCAATATGGGCCGTTGGGGCATTTAGCTTTTCTGAGCTAGGCTGTACACTTTATCTTTTTCCTATATATATATATATAGAATAGTACTAACTCAC